CACCCTGAGCACGTGTGGGAACATATATTTGGTCTAATTGAGAAGAGTGCATCCTGGACTCAGCACCTGTCTGTCATAAGTTGGCTAAGAAAAGGCGCTGTTCAAAGCAGGCTGGCCTGGGGGCACAAATACCTCTGCTGTGAACTAGGCTGGATGTTTAAATACGTTTTGAAAACAAATCGAAGAAAATCACAACCCAGGAAGTCACACAGCTTGTTCATTTTACAATTAAAAAAAAAATCACTTTCCCAATCTCATCCTTACCCCCAACTTTCAAAAACAGTTATCTTCCATTGCATGCATGCTGAACATTATGAAAGTGTCCTGATACTTTCCAGAAAACGAATGAAGTCATATGCAAATCCAGCAAAGTTTTGAAATAAGTCCCAACTTCCTTATATCTCAAAACATGCTGAGCAACATTCATGTACACACCTGTAACTCCTAAAGTTCTGGCAAAAGGTAACTGCAACACGGCACATTTTTCCTCACAGTGGTCATCACCCATGTAATAAAGAAGGCAGCATGGCCCATCAAGATGGGGGGCTGTCCCCAGGCCCCTGCCTGCAGGAGGAGGGAGGAATTAATAAGGGAAGGATGGTGCCTCGCCCTCCTTGGGAAGATCAATGACATGGGTTTACTTCAAATCTGAAGCCTATAGAAATGTTTTGAAAAGGCCTTTTAAAAAGCTGTTTGCTGTCTATTTGAAAACCGTGCATCAGCTCCAGAATCTGACAAACTGCTGAGTGTCCCAGCAACTTTGTCTCCTGCAGGAGTGTATGAAATGCAAGGACACAAGCAAAGTCCTCTCTCCAAGCAGGCTCCTGCATTCCTTCACATGGGTTCCCACTTTCATACAGAAGGTGCCCCCTAAGTGCTGACTGCATTTGGTTGCTTCTCAGGGCGCCTTCTTCCAAAACAAATGAAACCAGATTTCAAAGGAAGCTGCTGTCCCTGGAGGGCTCAGGGTGGCAAAACTCAAAGACAACAAGTGAAAATGATACAGTTGGTTTTCTTCCTGCCCTGATCTTGTAACAGTAAGGAGGCAAGGAAACATTTTTATTAGTAAACTAAGCCTTAGACAAAGACCAAAACCAAATGTAAACAGCAATTATTCTTCCCTCTGTCTTTTCTCTTCCCTCTGAAAAAGCCAAGGTAAATTCAGAAAAAGGCTTAACAGTTTAAAAACCCAAAAAAATGCCTTTGTTGTCTTTTTAAACCTTTTGTTCCATAAGAAATTTTGATTATAAAAAAAAGTACCATCTGCCTGAAACAACTACTGTATCCTATAGAGATTCTTTTTCCTTCTCAGATGCTGGAGCTATTTAAGAAATAAAATAAACAACAAGGGGGAAAAAAAACTACATTAAAATGAATAGTTCAGCCTCTGTTTTTACTACCAAGGGGCATTTAAGCTGGGCTATCAAAAAAAGACTGGAAATTCTTGACCATTCTTTAAACACTACATTATTTCTTTGTTGGAAAACATACGTAAGGAAAGTGGAAATACAAAAAGCCCGTCCAGACTCGGCTCCTAAACTTAATCTTGGAAAGATCAACATGGTTTCAGATTCAGGGCAGGGTTTTACTGTCACAAATCTGACTTCCACTCGCATTTATTTGTGCTTTATTTAATCCACTCAACCCATCCATCCTTAACCTGAGCTGTGCATAACCACAAGATTTCCACTCCACACACACACACACACACACACACACACACACACACACACCCCTTCTCCTGTGGCACCAGCTCAAGCCTCACTCACCAGCCTGCTCTACTGCTGTAGCTTATAGACCTTAAATTAAAAAGAAAAGAAAAAAAAAAGAAAGAAAAAACCAGGCACCACCCTCTGGGACAAACTCACTTAATAATTTTAATCTAACGTTTGAATTCAAAGTAACACAACACATTCCTTTCAACCTTCGCTTTTTTTCAATCTGGTCCACAGGGATATATCAGGCATACCTAAAAAGCCACTCATTTAAAGTCTACAATTCAAGGGTTTTCAGTATATTCAGTTGTGAAACCACTGCCACAATCTAATTTTAGAACACTTTCACCACCCCCAAAAGAAATCCTCTGCTGCTACCAATCACCCCCTCCTGCCCCAGCCCTAGGCAACCACTAATCCACTTTGTATCTTCATTTAAATGGCATCACCGGACCTGAATTCTCTTGTGGCTGACTTCTTTCCCTTGGGATGTTTTCAAGGTTGTTCCAGTTATCTTAGCACACTTCTTCAGATAGGACTTTATAGTCCTTTCCACAAATCAAGCATGTGACCTTTGAAACTTCACATCCTGACCCCCCAACCTGCCCATTTACTTGCTATTTCCCTCTGGAGTCTAAACTGTAATGTGATGTTTATGTTCCTTCTGAAAATCTTATTCTCACATGGGGTTCTTCTGGTCTTGAAACTCCTTCGACACCAATCTTTCACAACACCTGTTTCTCAGGCAACAGCCTATATGGTTGTACCTGGGGCAGAAAGATGACTGAGTCCTTTCCTTGAGCTGGCCACAAGGTGTTTAAAATGCATGTTTACTAGGCGGGGAAACAGCCCTGGGTTCTGCTGGCCATCAGTCATAATGTTCAAACCTCACTTACTAGATACAAAACAAACATCTGGCTTCATCTGCGTCCAAAACTTCCATATTTTCTAAGACGGAAAAAAAAAAAAATCACTGCTGTCACTCCAAGAGGAAACACGAATCCCCTAAAACACGAATCCCCTAAATGTGCCAACACAACAAGGGGCCGCCACCACCCAAATTTTTCTCACTATAATATACACCGCCGGATAGGATGTCAGTTTCTGCTAGGACTCTACACAGTTCATTTCACAGTTAAGTGATCTAGTACCTTTCCACTGAAAACTGAAGCAAGCTCACCCTTGAACTTAATCATTTACTGCTGGAAACTTCCCAGCAATGCCCCTTTGCTTCCTGTCTATTCTCAAGAAAGGGTCCCCTTTCACAAACAAAAAATTATTTTCAGGGAGCAAAGCTACAAACAATAAGACAAACCTATTTCAAAATGCCAACTCCTGGGTGAGAAAGCAGGACCATCTTGTTCCTGAGCATTTCAGAACTCACTAACATGAAATAACTAACGCAGAAAAAACTCCACAGCTCAGCAGCATGCCACAAGAAAACAGATTAACTCTCCCTGCCTTCGAAACTATATTTGGCTTTTCAAGGTTAGAAGCCATGGGACTATTTGGCTATCAGTCTCGTCCCCAGCGCCCCCACCCCAACACTAGGGTCTGCATGCCTAGAAGGGAGTCAAAAGGCTTCTGCCCAATCCAGTGTGCTGAAAGTTTAGAACACAAGGCACAAGAGAAGTCGGGTTTGTGCAAGGTTCAGTCTCCATTGCGTCTCGCTCCATGCGGTAAACACGAGAATTCTGTAAAAATCTGCTCTCGCTCCATCATGGACTCGTTTCTCACAAGACTTTTCAGAAGGATTTGTTTAAACAAACAGCCTCCCAGACTCGCCCCGGTGATGGCACCAGGCAGTCCCAGCCTCCTGACTCTTCCCCTCGCTCCTGGAGGCTCAGCCGTGACTTTCCCAAAGTGGATTGGCACCACCTGCATACATGCGCTCGGCAAACATTACTCATCCACACGACCTCGCCACTCCCGGCCCCGGCTCTCCGCCTGCCTTGCAACTTTCATCGTGTTCGAATCACCCGACCGCTGCGTCTGTAGTAAGCACCGCTTGAATTTTTCGGGGAGGTTAGAACCCCCGCCCGCTCCTCCCTGCAGACACCCTGGGGCGCTAAGTTCCTGCGCCCTCGCCCTCGCCCCTCGCACTTCCCTACCCTTCCCCGACGCGACCAAAACAAACGCTATCAGATTGCAAGCGATAGCGGCCGTGGGGCGATAATGCTTATTAACTGTGCACAAAGGGAGCCCCGGGCAGGGGGAGGGCGCGCAAGGCAACTCTGCCCGCAGACCCCAGGCCCGCGCTCAGCGCTCGCGGAACAAAACACCCCCCTCCCACCCCCGCGCTTCCCCAACAGGGCGCACCACACCTCTCGCCCAGGCCGGCGTCTCGGGGGCCCCGCGCGGCGGCCATGTGGCCACAGCCACACTCCCGCGTGGGGAGCCAGTGTGTGGAAATGCACGTCGGCTCCGCCAGCACGCTCACTCCCGCACCCCCGATGCTGCGCTGACGCCCCCAAGCCCGACGAGAGGAGCACGGACGTTCAGGGCCGGAGAGAGTCGGGCAGAGGGTCCTAGAGCCCTCGGAGCTGAGAACCCCAACGCGCGTCCCGGAGGAACCTGGCTAATTCGGAGCCCCGGACCTCCTACTTTCCAGGGGCTACAGGGAGTGGGGTACACGTGTGTTGGGGTACAGGGCAGGGCACGTTCCCCATCCCTGAGTTGCGACAAGCAACTGCGCGAAGCCAGGGGCCGGCAACCCGCCGCGGGCCGGGGAAAAGTGAACAGGGAGGCTAAGCCGCCCCAGAGCCCCGAGGGGCAAAGCGCCTTGGGCGGCCGAAGGCCTCGCCGGGGTGTTTGGAAACGTTTCCTGGGGCTGCGGGGCCTCCCCGGCCGGCACCTCCCCCTGGAGGACAACCCGCTCCTCCGGGTCGGGCGGCTCCCCGCCACAGGGCACCCCGGCATCGAGGGCACGCGCGGCCGCGGGAACTGTCACCGCGTCTGCGCCCGGGCGGGGGTCCGCGCGGCGCGCCCCGAGGGGGCCGGGGTGCGGGTGCGGGGCCGGCGCGGGGCCGGGCTCTCGGGACAGCGAACGAGGGGAGCCCCGAGGACCAGCCCGCGCGGAGAGGCGCCCGGCCGGGCCCGCGGGGCTCCAAACTCAGGAGCCGGGACCCCGGGCCACGCCGGCCTAGCCCCCCGCGCCCCACCCCCCCGCCCCCAAGCCCGGGGGCCCGACGGCCGCGATCGTGGCCACTCGGGTGTCGCCAGCGGGACGCGGCCCCGCGGAGGAAAAGTTCCCGCAGCGGCCGCGGGCGGCGGGCACATACTCACTTTCTCCACTCGTCGGCCAGAGCGAGAGCGCGGCGGAGAGAAACAGGAGCCCCCACAGCGAGGTCGGGGACCCTCCTCCGGAGCCAGACTTCATTCCTTTTATTTGGGACGAAATTCCCCTTTCTCAAAAAAAAGGGAGGCGGGAGAGGTAAAGAAAGTCTCGGACTCGGTCTTCGCGCCCCTCCAGGAGCCGGGGCGCAGGCGAGCGCGCTCGTCGGGAGGCGCCGGTCGGGGCCCCCGGGCGGGCGGGCGGGCGGGCGGCGAGGCGGGGCGGCCGCTCAGCGCCGGCAGCCGCGGCCCAGGGCTCGGCGGAGTCGGGAACCCGAGGCGCGCCGGGGCGGGCTGTCAGCGTCGTCGGCCTCCATTTGCAAACCCAGAAAAGCAGGAGGGAAAAACTGCCAGGCGAGGGGGCGCAGCCCCAAGGCGCCCGGGCCGGGCCACCCCTCCCCGCCCGGGCCCGGGGCAGCGGCCGACGCCCGGGCCGCCCGGCGGGAGGGCGCGACGCAGTTGGCGAGGGCGCCCCGAAGTGCGGGCGGCGGGCGAGGCCGGCGCGGGGCCGGAATGCGGAGCCCAAATGAATGAGCGGCGCCTCCTCCCGGCTCCGCTCGCGGCCGCCTCCTCCCTCAGCGCGGCCGCCGCGAGCCCCTGCCCGAATCCAGGACACACACAAAGCGGCGGGCCGGCCGCGCCGCCCCCGTCCCCCCGCCGCGCCGCCGGGCCCCGCGCCGGCCCCCGCCCGGCCCCCGCCCGCCGCCGCCGGCTCCGCGCGCGGGGGCTCCGGCTCGCTGAAGGTCACGGCCGCCGCGCCGCGGGGCGCCCCCCGCGCGGGAGGGGCGTGGAGGGCCCGCGAGCGGGGCCGGGGGTCGGCGGGCGCCGGGCACGGGGCGCCGGGCGCAGCTCCTGGCGACGAACGCGCCGCTCGCCCGCCGCGGCCGAGTGCGCCCGGGGCGCTCGCTGCTCCGCGGGGGTTTTTCCCTTTTTTCCCCTTCGCGCCGCGGAGTTCGGGCTGGTAAACAAGAGCCTCAGCCTCGCCGCGCCGCTGCCGCCGCCGTGCCACACACTGGGGGCTCGCGCGCGCGCTCGGGGCCGCGCACACGCGCCCGCGCGCTCCCCGGAGCGGCCACCGCCGCAGCCGCCGCGCGCCCGGGGCCCGGCCCAGGCCGGCGCGCGCCAAGAGCCGGAGCCGGGATCCCGGGGACGTGCGGAGCGGAGCCCGGGCGTGGGGCGCCAGGCGGCGAGGCACCGCCCCCGCCCCCCGCCCCCGCCCGCGCCCGCGCCCGCGCCCGCGCCCGCGCCGGCACCCGCGCGCCCCCCGACGCGGGCGCGCGCGCCCCCCCAGCGGCCGCCCCCCGCCCCCGCCCCCCGGCCGCGCCGCGCCGGCCACCCCGCGCGCCTGCCCTCCCCTCCCCTCCCGCAGGACTCCAAAAACAATGCCCCCGGCGCCGGCCCGGGCTCCGCGGAGGGGCGCGCGGGGGAGGCGGGGGGGCGCGGTGGGCGGGGCGCGCGGCCGTGAAGCCCATTGAAAACAACAACAGCGTGGCTGGGAGCGCGGCTCCCGTTCTTGAAAAGCTTCATTGTTTCTTGCAGCTGTTGCAAAATAAATAAATAAGTGCGTGCGAGCGGCATATTTTCGCGGCGCGCCGGGAAGCCGGGACGCGGCGGGCAGGGGACACCTGGGGTTCAAGGGGACCCCCACGCTGCCAAGGCGGGCACTCCCCGCGGAGCTGGGGTGCCGCCGCGGCACGGCCGGGAGCGTGGAGCGCCGGGGCTCGCGGCGCACCGGGCGGGAAGGGCGCGGCCCGGGGGCGCCCGGGGAGACCGCCCGCCGCCCGCCGCGGACCCCGAGCTGGGGAGGCGCGGGGGGGTCCCCCAGACAGGCGGCCCCGCGTGCCCAGGCGCGTCCCCGAGGCGGCCGCCAGGGGGCGCGGCAGGCGCCGGGGAGGGCTGGCTCGCGAGTGTCGCCTCCCTCCCTCCCTCCGGGAGAGGAAATGTGGGGGCCCGGGCTGGGGGCTGGCCGGGCCCGGTCACGCTGGCCGGGCCTCCAGGCACGACCCGCCGCCCGCCCCGAGCGCTCCGGGCCGCCTGGCGCGCCCCGGGGCTCCACCACGTGGGAGGCTGCGGGAGTGGCTGGGGCGCGCGCCTCGTGCGGGGCTGCGGGACCCCAGAGACGGGGGGACCCGTCCAGAAGCCCCCAGAAATGGGTGGGGGCGCACATCCAGACGCCTCTCCTGGCTCCGGGGAGATCCGGGAACGCGCACAGCCGCGGCAGGAGGGGTCACTGCGGAAACCCACCCGCACCTGCCTCGGGTCCTCCTGGGCACGTCCCACCCGCTTCCTCTGCTGCGTAAGTGACTAGAAACCAGCACCGACCCCAAGTCTCCGGGGAGGTTTAACGAAAGGTTCCCAAGGAGAGGGTCCCCCCCAGAGCGAGATCGCCCTGAGACCCCTCTAGTGAATAAGAGCTGCGGAGACCAGGTCCCCCGGAGAGGGAACACCCCAGCAGGGGCCGGAGAGGAGTTTGAAATGCGTAGACTTTTAAAAATAGTGATTGGACCACGTGTCGCCTTTCATGTGGTTCGGTTTTCATGACTCAGGCTAATTGATGTCAATAATAAATAAGAGGATGGCTAATAAAAGAGTTGTGGATGTCTAGGTGGAGCCGAAATATTTGTCTCGTAAACAAGCAGGCTGTCTGGTAACAGGGAATCTGTTCTGAAGGAAAGGCAGGTTTCTTTTTCGCTCTGTAATTGTAGAACGATTTCCACGTTACATTACACAGCCCATCTCTCGTAAATACATTTTAAATTACAAGCTGAAAACAAGTCCAACGCTATCATAATGGAAAGCTAGACTTTCCTTCCCTATATTTATTCCCTAGATTATTTTTCCCCTTGGAAATTTTTAGCTCCATTCCGTGAGTCAGTCAGTTGTATAGAAGGGAAAGCAATCGCTCTCTTTTTTTTTTTTTTTTTCCCCCTTCACTAAGAGTCGTTCCTATGGGATTGTTTGGTTTAACTGAAATTCAGTTGAATTTTAAATAAAATATTCCAGTTTTAGGTGTTCCTGAACATTAACAAAGGAAGGAATATGTTGGAAGTTTTAAAAAGAAACTCACATTTAGCATCTGTCATTTAAAAACTAGGCACTACATGTGAATAATTAAAATTCAGTCTACTCCCTTTTAAAATATTTCTTCAGAAATATTTAGAGTTGCCTGCAATAGAAACTTGCTGCCAACAGTTCCATTTTGCCATGAAATGTAAAGGAATGTCAATAGTATATATATTGTTTAGTATCTAGAAATTTTTGACACATTCTTATAAATTAAGACAGAAGTTCAGAGCAGATTTTTTAAAGGCTAAGCTAATATAAAATCTTTGAAACTACACAATATATTTTTAGCGTTAGTAATAAAAATGCCAGTCAGTTGTCACTGAAAACATAAGGAAACATAAAGAAAAAAGAGAAAAAGCACACAAGGATTTAGATTATAGAAGGTGGGACAGCCAAATTTCATTTGTAGATCTTTTTTAAATGTTTGTGTTCCTAAACTGCAAACCATTAAGATAAATTGAAGTTCGATTTTATTATATAGCTTAATATTTATGGGGGAAAGAATCAAAATTTAGGTTGCCTCTCAGATCTAAGTTGTTCACACAAAGCTGAATTTTATTTTCTTGAATTATTACATTCTGCAGAACAAAGTCAAACTTGTTTCAATCTTGGAAATTGAATCACGTAATAAAATGTTAATAGGAGTCTTTGCTTTACAACCACAGGCAACGCATCACACTTTGTTTTGTACAATTTCCCCTGGTATCTTATAAACTTCCCTTCTTTGGGAGCAGAAACTGCTTTTAAAAGCAGTTTAAAAACAAAACAAAACAGTTTTTTTCTCAAGCTATGCTTGAGACACCCCCAAAATGTAACATACACAAAGTGACAATAGGAAGAACAACACAAATGACAATTGACACATATTAAAAATAATACAATATGTTGCGATATATTCTCAGAAAGGAATGTGTTTCAAGAGTAAAATTGAATAAACAGCTACACATAACACAGGCAGATCTTTGGAACAGCATTAAGCAAAAAAAAAAAAATGCAAGTTTACACAAGATATGGCACCATTTTGATAACCTCTTATAAGCAAGGAAAACAAAAAAATATATGACAAAATTTTTTTGAAGGAAGAGAATTAAAATATTTTTATTTTGTTTTGCTTTGCTTTTATTTTAACCAGAGGACTTATAAAGAAAACAAGATTCGGGATCCCGGTTAGCTCTAGGAGCGGATGGCAAAGGCTGGGACACCGGCAGTGTTCTCGAAAATATGTTCATTCTTGGATCGGGAGGTGGATTTACAGACTTCCACGTTATAATTATGCTTTGCAACTAACACATATGCTATCTGTTTTTTGTATGTGAAAAATATTAGCAAAGAAAAGAAATAGGGGAGACCCATAAAAGAGATGATTCCAGTTTTCCAATGATTCTTCCAGATTCCAAGCTGTGTAAGTGACTCCAAAATATGAAAGACCCACTCAAAGGATATGAATTAATCAAGCCCCAAACACATTTCAGAAGAATGTGTACCCGTGTCCTTTGGATGCAACTGAAGACAAAAATTAATCAGCAAAAACAAACATGGAAAAGAATTCACTCCATGGGCAATCGGGCTCACTAGTTCAGAGGGCAGGACATGAACTGCAGTTTAGTATATTGTTGAGCATACACCTAATTTATGATCCTGCCACTTTATCCCTAGCTATTTAGCCAAAGGAAATGAAAATATGTCCACAAAAAGACCTGTATGAGGATGTGGGGAGTTGCTTTATGCCTGATAGCAAGAAAAAAGGGGGGAAAAAAGAAAAGGAAAAGGAAACAATTCAAATGTACATCTAAAGGAGGAGGAATCAACAAATGATGATATACACATTCATTGCAACACTGCCTGACAATAAAAAAAGAACTATTGATGCTTGCAAAAGTATGGATGGATGAGCCTGAAAAACATAATACCTCAGCCAGGCACTGAAGAGTACATTCTGTCTCAAGTTCATTCATAGACGTTTAAGAGCAGGTAAAACTGATCTATGAGCTAGAAATCAGAATTATGGTTGCCCTTGGAGAGAGGGAAGGAGAGGTGTGGATGACTAGGAAGAAGCACAGAAATTTCTAGAGTGATGCCAAAGCTCTGTCTTGATTGGGGTATTGGCTATGGCCGTGTA